GRACAGATGTTCTCCATGCCCTGATACCTAATTCTGTGCAAAACCATTTTGACACTTGAAGTCAATGTGGTGAGGTTACTCCATGTCCTCCAGMTGGTTATTGTTCTTCATAAATACATTTGTGCTGCACACTGACTGCTGCAGAGTAACTGCTAAAAGGACACCTAGTGGTAAGGAAATTAGAGTTTCCAGAAACTGCTGGCATAAAGGTGTGCCACTGTAATTGTCATGGGAATTGCTGACCTGCTATGGGTTGAATACACAATGTCACAAATGAGCTTACATGTCAAGTAGCGCTACTCATGRTTTTTGAAAAGTGACAAACAGTATTTTTAAAAGCATGTTTATAAAACCTGGAACTTAAGATTAACTTACTCAGAACTCAGAGAAGAGGTTTTTTTTTTTAAACAAAAGGTGCACAGTACTGTCTGTCTCACATTACAAATTTGAATGCACTAAATCTCCACTGCATACACTTTAGGAATATTGGATAGCTGAACAGAACTCATTACAGATACGTTTTGCTGGATATTTGAGCCAAATTTCATCTTGGCCCTCATCATTCCTTGGTTCTTCCATTGTGCCACCCTAAAATATCCTGAGCAATTCCTTCCCTTCTYGTCTTTTCCTTCTATGAAGACACACAGCTGAAGAACATAAATCGTGCACATTTGAGCTAATGTTACTTTTTTGGTGGTTTGTTTGTTTGTTTGTTGATTTTTATTTTTTTTTTTTTGTCCATGCGACTTTAGAGTCACTTCTTGTCTGTGTTTATTCCAAACACTTTAATATGCACTAATGCCCTTGTGACCAGAAGATGCCCACAACAGAAAGCTCTATTCCAGATGGAGTCATGCTGGTCTCATGCAGAGAGGGATTATAACCTTCCTGAGTAGTGACATGCTGCCTCTGGGCAAGCAGACCAAATCCACTCTTGGCTTTCTTGTTTATGTCAACATATTGTATTACAGGCATGGAACAACTTGCTGACCACTGTCCCTCCTCGATTATTATTTTTATGTTCTCTTTTCCAGGTTGTCTTTTCTATTGAATACCAGTTTCTTTGTATTAATTTTCCCTGAGTGAATTAGTACAGATTTACTAAGCCATTTTTCCAGATACATTTTTTTATCCAATTTTCTAACATCTCTGTATGCCACGGGTCTGTTCTCTGTCCTCAGAGTGTTTATAACAGCTCCCAATTTAGTGCTGTCCTTTGATTTAAAAAGCCAAAAACAATYCGTTTCTGCTCTTCTATCCTCTTTCATCATAACAAAGATTGAAACACTGGGATGGATATATTTGTTTGCTTTTTTAGGTGACTTGCTACCAAGGTTTTTGCTTAAAAGAAAACCTCCCAAGCCAAACAAACAGATCCTGCCTTATTTCTCCATAACTACAAGGAAGTAGATCAAGATGGTCATGAGGGATGCAGCACATTCTGCTCTTTCCCAAACATTTGCAACATTCCTTTCACAGCTCTGTTTCCACAGCTCACTTCTCCTTCACTCCACCCTTCTGAAGCTCCAGCCTGCTCTCTTGTCTGAAAATGGCATGTAGTTTCCTTCCTTTGCTATAAACAATGCTTTCTGTAACCTTAGTTTCATGATGTAAACATTTAAAAATAAGAATGAAGGGACTATGTGTTCAATTAGGTAATTTGGGGATTAAATTAAAAGAAATCTCTCAAAATATGGAACATGGAGCATTTCAGCTCCGTAATGCAGTCTGGCTTTACGTGCTTTCCTTTTATCTCCTCCCTTTAAGAAAAGGAGGCATTATATCTTAGAAACTCTGGCAGAAGAGTAGTAAAGGCTGCTGAAGAGACCATTATTGCTTCTGAATCCAAGAGAAACAAAAGTCAAGCTYAGAGGAAGGTTCCATAACACTCAGGTGTGTGTTTAAAGAGAAAGAGAGGTGCTCTGTAAATTGCACGGCGCTGGAGTCTGGGATACCAGCTGCCACAGCTGACAGGGGAGGCTCCTGCCATCAGTGATATCACCCTCTGTAATCTGACGTCAGCCTGTAAAATGCCCTGCAGCCTGCCAAAGTCTCCTCAAGCTGGCATTTCTTTTATACTAAAATGCATTTTAAAAACAAGGAGACAACCAACAGATACCATTCTCCGCTCAAAGCAAAAAAAAAAAAAAAATTAAAAAAAAAAAATATATATATATACACATATACGCACTGTGCACCATAAGGAGTAAAGGAAAAATAGTGCCCATAAAAATACTTCTCTGCAGTCCACCTAAAAGTTTTAGTCAATGATACCACTTCAAACAGACCTTTTTTTTGAAAACAACTCTAGAAAGGATTTCCATTATTAAATCCCTAATCTGGATTTTGCTCTTGTGAACTCCCCAGCAACAGAAATTCAAAATATCTTCAAATTTGGAAGAATTCTTTTTGGGTGCACCTGAAAATGCGCATTTGACTTTCATTGTGCAGTGTGTCAGACAGTTACAAAAACAAAGCATAGCCTCGTACAACTTCATTCGACACTTCAAACTTTGAATCTCTCTTATCCTGAAAGACAGGGATCATTTTGGCTTTGCAAGAAAACCCATTTCYTCCTGGTATACAGCAAACATGGGCAATACAGCAGTTGTTTGACATTCACATCATACTTAAAGAGGCATTTTGAACATGTAAAATAACAGCTTCAAATAAAGAATTCAAAGTATCTACAGGTATTACATCTGTCCCAAGCTTCTTTCCCAGTTTAGTGATTTTACAGTTGTGTTTACCCTTTTTCTAAAGCCTGTTGATGAAAATGGATGCCTGAAATTCCCAATGCAACATCCCTTGCACAAAATAAGTTCAATGATAGATTTTTTTCCTTGTCTTTATCAATATAATACTATTTGTTACTTTTACTCAGGATTAATACAAAGGACCAATAAATCAGAGGGATACTTTTAATGAGAGGCTGATATCTTGAGGAAACCTACCTTGAAAGAAACTCTTGACTCGGAGATAGCTGACACTAAGGCGCAAGACAGAAAGTTTGTCCAGCTTCGATACGATGTCGGGTGGAAAAGGAAGGAGGCTGGCCAGGTGGTCCAGTTCTGCATTCAGACGGTCTCTGTGTCTCTTTGAAGGATTCGATTTTTCATTCCCAACTGCAGGTCTTCTGTGGTGGAGAACACATTTTCAATTACCTGTTTTACTTCCAAGTAGTACAACCAGAGACTGGGATGTTGTACACAATTAGTTGACAACTGGAATATTTTGCTTCTATGAAAATCTTTAAAGTTTCTGTCCCCTGCCAGAAAGAGATTTACCTTTCTGCATTTGCCATAGTGCAAACACACAGGCTTTGTCTTTTCACATCYGGGAAAAACTGAAGAACTGGTGTCTTTTAATCTGGACCTCACACCTTAGGGAATTGGGTACTATCTTAATGTTCTAGTCAATACCAGGWAAAACAATTTCTCATCTTTGTTGTACAAATGAGGGGCAGAACAGCAGAGGAAAATTACTGTGACTAATGCATGAACCCATTCAATACCCACTGTATTCATCCAAAGCATCTAAGTTCTCTCCATTTAATGACTCAAAGTTAATCTGGGGGGTCAGGAGATAATTAAGAAAAGAGTCTGTCTTTAGATATGAATTTTATAAGTATGGAAGGCAAGGTGAAGAGAGATTCTTTCCTCAAGCTCAAAACTCCTGTGTACATTCTCACATTCTTAAGAACGTTCATATTCCTCACAAAACATGACAAAGACCAATGTTATTCAGCTTTCTAGGCCAAGCAATCCATCTCCATTTTGTGTTCCTCTTATGTAATGGACACTACTAGATAACCTAGAATATCTGTTGAGAAAATACACAAAGATGAAATACATCACACATGAGGAACCTCAATTCTGGAATGTCCATTTATATGCTCAGAGAGCACGTGAGATATTCTCAGGAGGGAGCAAAGGAAAAGCTGGTGCTTTTGCACACAGAAATGGGGATTTTATTTCCATCCATGGAGATGTTCAGTGCTGGAGCACAGACTGCTCCATCAAGCAAGAAGACCTGAGTGGCTGAAAAGGCGGCTYCTTTCAGTAGCTACTCCTGCTGAACCCACCCGTGGTCAAGTGCATTATCTGGGTATGAGCTACAGGACACTGGAGCCATAAACCATATGGATATTCAAGAATGGGAAACAGCAAGTAAGAAAAGTATGGCTGTGCTAACAGTTTCTACTTCTGCCTCACTGAATCCAAGGATCATAATCTTAAGTASCTAGCTCGTGTTCAAGCAGAAAATGAGAGTAAAAATAATTATTTGTCACACTTTGCTACTACATTTTCATGCTACATGCATTTACTGCATTTTTCAACTGCAATTCTRGTTCTAAGCTTTAGCATTTCACGAAGTGGTGAAGGTGATACAACAGTATTAAATTAAAATTACAACAGTATTAATTCGTCATTGCAATTGTCATTCTAAAAAAATTGTGCTGTGGAATTAATAAAAAAAAAAAGAGTAAAGTTTTTTACATGTCATTGCTACTAACTGAAAACCTCTTAAAGCAAAACAGGTATAAAAAATTCATTATTACTTTTGAGAGCCTCACTTCTTTTTAAGAGGACAGCATCAGTGGACAGAATGAATGGAAAAAAAAATGTTGAGGTAGGTATCAGTGAAAATATATAATTTCGGCTTCTTCATTTGAAATTGCCAATATTGATATGTGGCTTTTCAATAACACAATGAGTTGCCTTAAAAGACATGGAGAAGATTTTGCTTATTGAGATCAATGAACAACTTTCCTATATTGGAGAGAGCAAACATGCAGCAAATAATCTAACCAACAAGAAGGAATAGCCTGTTTTACTGGGATAACTGTTTTATGCAGTAAACCTTGAAGCTCAGCCATCCTACGACACCAAGGGGATGCCTGATCTGTGGAGGGCAGTAAYTTTGTAGGAACATAGCCTATAGCTGAGCAGAAGCCAAAGAACATAAGCTTTTGCTAATTGGTCTTTACATCTGACAAAACAACTGAAGCGAGGAAGCAATGTAGGGCAGAAAAAATTTATTCCAATAAGGAAAATTAAACTGATGAGTTAAAGGGGTAAAAATTGTCAAGGGTAACATGGAACACAAGCAGAAGTTGTTCAAGCCTATTTACGTAAAATAGTGACTGCTCTATGCCAGAGAGGTATGGTTTGAGACAATTAGGTGGTCTGCCTTYGTACTGAACTTCAGAAATAAAATTATGGATGTGGTGAAGAATGGTGTGAAAGGAGTAGGGGAGAAAGTTCARGACAGAGTCTTCCTGAAAATTCAAGGAAATGATTCAGTAAGGAGTGAATCCAAACAAACAGGCGTTTGATGTAAGTGGTAACAAGGTGCCAAGTGGATGTGATTTAAAACAATGTAAGTTCCATGGAAAGGCTAGGTTAGCTAGCCATAAACAGAAAAGGCACAGGCAGGGAAAATCTTGAGTGGGCTGCTTTGAGGCAAATGGAAATTCTAGCCTTTCTTTTGAGCTGAAAGTAGATGGTGCTTGTTGTGTTTGTGTTAAACTCAGGATGGTCAAACTGTAAACAGAGACACCAGTCCCTCGATGATACCTCATTTACCCTGCTTTCTGTACAACACTACTGTAATAATGGAGCACGTGTAATTAAAAAAATAAATCTGGCTTCTCTTTCGTCACACCATTAGAAAGCCCAGGTTCTGCTCTGCAAGTCCTTGTGGCTGTGCAGGACCCACATGAGCAGCCCCGGTGCCGTGGGAGCTGTGTGGGAGCTGCTGCAGGGAGCATTTTCTGTTCCCATGGTACACAAAGCACTGAGCCATTTGTGCATTAGTGGTTCAGGGTGCCCATGACACACAGAYGGCCACCCGTGTAAACCAGTTCGGTGAGCTGGCTGAGGAATTTCCTGCAGCTCTGTCTGCTGCTCCCTACTCTCTGCAGACCCCTACCCTGTTAATGAAAAGTTTGCTCTGAATAAGTTTTTAAAGTATGCTGAAGTGTTAAACTGGCAGAAGATCTGAGCTGAGAAAGGTCTAATCACTTACGGCAACTGCAAGATTTTGGTAAGAAGGGAAAGGGAAGAGAGAGACCATGAGGTGCAACAGAGAGGCTGAGAGCAAAGTAACAACAGATGATTGTCATGAGGGTTCTGAGCAGCACCCTCTGTCACTGAGCCGTGCTTGGACATTGCATGGGAATCCTGRCAGAGCTGAGCTCCAGTGGCAGCCATACATGTGTGGATGTTCACCATCTCCTCTGGACCAAAAGACGGAATGAGAGAAAGCTGCTTGAGCCAAAGGGGGCCTTTTGCCACCTTCTGTAGCTCTTCTGTGTCTTCACAGCAAGGAAAGGTGAAAGCAGAACTAATGCTCAAGAAGACATAACACCAGCAGAGCAGATGAGAGGTGGCATAGTGTGACATGAAATAAGAGAAAGGGGCTACACAGGGCCACACAGAGCCTTAAAATGAGAACTAGGAAGCAGGAGAGAGCTGCACCTCCCAAGGTCTCTRTTTACCCTGGCACTGGCATGTTTATGGCTGGAATGGTGGGTCTGGAGCAGTTATAGATACACTCAGAGCTAGGGCAGGTGTAGCTGCCTTTAAAGGGCTGTAAAACATTACAAGAAATGCTTTGTAGAGGGAGAGGGCTTTACAAGATGCCAGGGTTTGAGATGAAGAAGTGGCTGAAGTTGTCAAATGGCAAATGTCCGGAAGCATTGCCTGAGCATTTCTAAGTATTAATTTCAGCATAGTGATTTTAGCTCGAGGTTAAAAACAAGATCCCTTTAATGTCCAGATGCTTGAATTACCAGTRAAATGTTAGATTTCCACAGGAAATAAACACTTGGTAGAAAATGTTTCCTTTAGTCAAAATGCCGGCTGTCTGGCTGAAAAGCATATCTGATGGAAAATTTTCAGTCAGTCTGAGCTCCAGGTGTTTGAACTGTGTCCATAAATGCCAAAATTCTTTAGTGTGGATCACATCTGATGGGGCTTGTTGGGAAGTTTTGGGGAGCAAAAGGAGAACAGCTTTTTCATTTTTAATTTACTTGCATGTATAAAAGTAGAACTTGAACCTCATATATTGTCTGAAGAATGGCAACCTAATGAAGATATTCTCTACTAATTCTGTGTAGAGAGCAAGACTGAARCATATTAGCTCCTCCCAGTAAAATTTTCCACACATTCTTCCACAGTCTTATGGGTCTCTCTATTCTCCCATGAAGCCTCCTCATACATTTTCATCACTGTTCAGTTAAACCACCTCAGAAATAAATTCCTGTGCCTGAAAAAACATTCATGAACATAATGAACAATATCATTCTGTGATAACCTGGGTTAAAAGCTGTTTGAAGGATTACSACCTGGTTGACAGCTTGATCATGAAAAGATGATGCAGAGTGAGAGAGTTGGCTTCTCGGGATGCTCTGAGTACGGGGAGATATAAATGTCCCAGTCGTTCTGCAGAGGGGAAAGCTGCATCTCTGTCCTTTAAATCCTGACTTTTGAAAGGCATAATCCATGAATCCCTATTGAAATCCAATAGGCACCTGAGCTCACTTATTCTCTCGTTAAGGGAAAGTTAAATTCTAGAGACTATTCATGCTAAAAAAGAGAGGACTGGCCATGGATTGCCCATCAACTTTAGCTCCTGTGAAAAGCCAGGTTTTACAACTGAGMAAATACTCCTCCCAGATCAGGTGCCAGGATTCACCTTGATTCATTGTCAGAATGACGGGGGAAAAGTACAAGGCTGTGGAGGAGAAAGTGCTCTGCTATCAAACAGGGGAAAAAAGCTGTAACAAAGATGTTTCAACASGGATCAAAATCATGGTTAAATATGCTGCTCAATTAATAGGCTCTGTCTACCCGTCTAAATTCAAGATTAATTATTCAAGGCAGCATAAAAGTAAGGATACCTCAGAGTCCTGGAATGCCAGTAAGACTGAAAGACACAGACCGTGAAAGGAGCTCTGTCAGCCAGTCAGTCTGGGGCATTCAGAGCCTCTCTAGATGAGAGTAAGGAGGGAATAAGCACAGGAAAGGCTTACCAGAGAACAAGGCCACGAACAGATAAGGTTTGAGGAAGAGACCAGTGTTGCTAGGAACTGAGAAATCATCCTCAGCAAGTGCTAAGTAGCTAACCACAGAAAACAGAGCGCTGTCTCCAGTGTGGGAGTTCAGTATTCTAATAATCAAAACACTTCCCTTTGTTTTAACCCATGTTTCTTAATCAAAATTGTTCATGTCCTGGCTTGATAAGCTCATGCTCAGGCACCTGCACTGCAATAGCACAGAAAAGCTATTTTCTGGGTGGCATTACCTGCAATGGYCTCCAAGAGGAAAACTTGGTTGCGTAAAATAAGTGAGAATTTGCTTCTGAGAGTATAAAGCCAGAACTTCAAAAAAGGCTAATGAGGTCATTTCCRTGATTTGTCTGCAGGTAGTTCTCTTAGCCATTGCATTTATCTAGAAGCCATCTTTGAGAGAAGTTCTAGCTAGCATGTAACCTCCAAACATGAGCTTRATGTTTCTCAAAGCAACTGCAACTCTCCTTCCTTCCTCACAAAAGTAATGATCCATAAACAGTTCTGCATAGAGGTAATTTCACGTATTGGAATGGTTCCATACCTCTTGCAGTTGTTATAAAATTAAATATCCACATCCATACTGAAACAGTAGTGCAGAAATCTTACATACATTTTGAATTCAACACTCAGGATTTTTGCAGGAAGAATCATTTGCCAAGTAATTATCTTCATCTATTGAAATATGATACATTTTGTACTAAAAGAAACAATTTTTTAAGTGGGAACAAGTGGTTCATGAGCAAATACTGCCCAAAATCCAAACAATATCAACAGATGTCATTAAAACATTCAGAGAAACTCCCCTTTGACTTTAGACCAACCTACACAATTTTAAGAGAAGTGGGTTATTTTTAGAAGTTCTGAACAACTGAAAATAGGGAAATCTATTTTAGTTACCTTCTCATCTTTAAATTGTGTGTGAAGGCCACCAGTGCCAGTTCATCATCTTAACACAGTAAAAATGTGTGTTTCATAATCATATAATCAAGTGTAACACAAAAAATGTGGGATGATTATATTAAAAAGCTTTATTTCACAGAGCGGTTTATGGCATCTGGAACTCATTTACATTTGAGTGATAGCAAAACCTTTTCTTCCCCTCCCATTTCAAGCATCTTGTAGCGACAAATTTCCATTGCGTTTTTTCTTTCCCTGCTTTGCCTTCACACATACAATTCCTCTCTCCCATTTTTCTCCTAATGGAAGTGATCCCGTAGTAAATAGTCTGAAAATTGTGTGTTCTGTATGCAAAAAGTGAGTCACCAGTCTGCTCTTTCAGCTGGCTGAGCTGACCCATTTTCCAGGCTCGCACATGTTGGACTTAGCGATGCCCCAAGCAAGGCTGAGCCCGGGAAAGGGGAAGGGGGAGCGCGATGCCAATGCTCTGGTGCCACTCAGCACGTGGCTTCTCAAAATGCTCCTTGAACAGGCGTCAGGGAGGTGGAAGCACAAAGTGACAGCCACCTCTCCAGCCCACTGTCCAGATGACATTTAGTCCAGCAGCATCTTTTGCTGGCACCACCACGACCACCAAGGATGGCTTGACCCATGCTTGCCATCCTTTCTGGAGACATCTCACCCATGAAGAGCCACCCGCCCAAGCAAGGGTTTCTCATTGCAGAGAAGAAGATTAGGTCTCTTACACCAGTGGACCATAGGACAAAGGGARCCTTTCTTCTGTCTCATTTCTAGTATGTTTGTGGGGAGATGCCTCCTGATGGATATCATACTTAACTGTTTCTGAATGGGTTTCCTCCGTTTCCTCCCAGCATAGAGGCATTCCCCYGGAGGAATCATTGCTTTGACACTGAAAAACAAAAGGAATAGGTTTCTTAGTTCAGAGGTTTCTGTGCTTCAGACTGCTGAACAAAATGACAGCACTGAGAAAGTTCCACCAAGGAAAATGCTTGTTCCTCGAGTGTGACATTCAACAACACTGAAAAGCATAGTGGCATTAGCTAAGATAGAAGCTTACGACTTATTCCAATTTCCTACCCTAATATTATTAGAATATTGACGTTTATGTTCCAATTTCATTTTTTCAAATTAAGCATACTACACATGATATTAAATGGGTATAAAATACATCCTGTTTACTAGATATCCAAATTGTTTTTCTCTTCCAGGCTCACTTCTAAATTCAACTAAACAAATAAAAATTAATAACACTACCCATCATCTGCAGGGAGGATTTCACAGCTTTTAAAATACACAGGAATATTATCTCCATTACTGACACTGTGACTAGTAGGTTACAATTATTCAAATCAGCATTTTTCCAGATCCTCACATCCTCATTTGTAAAGGCTGGAAGTATAGCTGTCGGCAGCTCAAGATGTGACACACAGTTTTGTGGTTAGCACCAGGACTGTGCTGCGTGAGGTGACAATTTTCACACAAAACTTGGTCTTATTGATTTGTTTGAGTATGTTAGCCTTAGAGACATTGCAAGTTTGGAAACAAGTCTTTGCATTCAGTCTGTTTAAATCTTCTGGAGATTAGCTGAATATCAAAGTCTCTTGATTTTCTGTCTGAAAGAATATTTTAGTYGTGCTGAGTGCTGTTCAGCAGTGGGTGCATGCTGCTAGGGAAATTAGTATATCCCAAGAGTAATTGCTTTGTGTAAGATATAAAATTTAAGGGAACTTATATGTCACTGAATCAAATCCCACGTTGATGAATGTGTCGGTCATGCAAAGAAAATCATAAACTTACTGAATTCATTTGAAAACAGTTTAGAAGAGTTTTCTTCTTCATTGAAAGACAGCTTTCTGATAACTCAAAACCTTTCRCCTTCCAGCTTAAATTTGTTCATGGTCATTTTATGCCCATTTGTTCTTCTGCCAACATTGTCTTTTAGTTTAAATAGCTCTTCCTCCTCCATTGTGTTTACTCATTGGCATATTTTTAAATATCAGTCATATCTTCAGTCAGCCTTCATTTTTCTATTCTGGGACAACCCAAACTTTTATTTCCCTCTTGTGTTACAAACTGTTTTTTTCCTCCTATCATTTTAGGAGAATAGAATTGTGCAGAGTTTATTAGGAAAAATCTAAAATGTATTTCATACATGCAAGCACAGCATCCTTTGTTAAATTGAGATATCCTAGGTCTATTGTGTTTCCTTCACCTGGAAAATCAGTTATTGTGTCAACAGACAGGTATCAGGTTTCTTGTCAAAATAATTTGAATCTACATTCCATTTTTACTCCAAGTAACCACAGCTGGTAATGGTTCTTTCTTTGAGAATTCATTCTGAGGTGATGCATAATAAACAGATCTGACAAGTTGCGTTCTCTCAAATGTAGGTTGTGGTGGAAACACCAGCCATTCTCCAGTTGCTGCAATGTCAGGCATAAAATTCTTCTGGAAACAGAATCATTTTTTCACTACTACTGGGATGATTTCATGTKATGTCAGGTGGGTGAACTCTCTGTCCAAAGCTGATGAGGGATATGATTCAGGGCAATAAATACTGCTGCAGGTTAAGATTATGCCACAGCCTTTGCTTAGATAAAGCCTTCTTGCCATCTTCAAAGACCTTGTTAAATTAATCTGCAAGTTCCTTTTTTTTTATTTTAACAGTCTGCCGGTTTTAAGATTACATCTACCCTAATGGGTTTCCTACTTCAGCGAGAAGATAAAGTGGTGKGGAAATGCCAAGAGAACTGCAGTTTCTTCTGAGACCTTACATTGAAAGGTGTTTTCTTTGTATTTATGGTGGATTGACACTGTCTGGATGCCAGGTACCCACCAAAGCTGCTCTATCACTCCCCTTCTCAGCAGGACAAGGGAGAAAAAAACATAATAAAATGCTCATGGGTTGAGATAAGGAAGGGGAGAGATCAGTCACCAGTCACCACCACGGACAAAACAGACTGAACTTGGGGAAATTAGTTTAATTTGTCACCAATAAAATCAGAGCAGGATAATGAGAAATAAACACAAATCTCACAAATGCCTTCCTCACACCCCTCCCCTCTTCCAGGGCTCAACTTCACCGCATTTTCTCCACCTCCTCCCCCGCAGCAGCACAGGGGATGGGGACTGGAGGCTGCGGTCAGTTCATCACGTTCTGTCTCTGCCACTCCTTCCTCCTCAGGGGGWGGACTCCTCRCACTGTCCCGTGCACTTCTCCAACATGAGTCCTTCCCACGGGCTRCAGTTCTTCACAAACTGCTCCAGTGTGTGTCCCTCCCACGGTGCAGTCCTTCAGGAACAGGCTGCTCCAGCAGGGTGCTCCTTGGGATCACAAGTCCTGCCAGACAATCTGCTCCAGWGTGGGCTCCTCTCTCCATGGGTCACAGGTCCTGGCAGGASCCTGCTCCAGCACAGGCTTCCCATGGGGTCACAGCCTCCTTCAGGCATCCACCKGCTCCAGAGTGAGGTCCTCCATGGCTGCAGGGGCCTCACCATGGTGTTCCATATGGGCTGCASGGGAATCTCTGCTCTGGTGTCTGGAGCAYCTCCTCCCACTGGTTCTYCACCAACCCTGACATCTGCAAGGCTGCTGCTCTCACATGCTCTCATTCCTCTGACTGCAGTTGCAGTTGTGCAGGCTCTTTCCCACTCCTTAAACCCATTTTCCCAAAGGCACTGCCATCAYTGCTGCTGGCCTTGGCCAGTGAAGGGTCAGCCATGGACACTGGGGAARMTTCCAGCAGCYTCTYACAGAARCCACCCCTGTAGACCCCCACTACCAAAGCCTTGCCATGCAAACCTARCACTGTATTGTAATACGTTTGTGTTCCGAGTCTTTCCTGTCCATAATATGAATCTATGACTCATAGTCCATGTTTCAAAACAGTGTCACATGCTAGACTTCCCTTCCCTTGCCTTCAGGAGTGAAGTTAAAAGGAGGAGAGAGGCTTGAAGAACATAATTCAACTGAAAACTGAAAGTTAAGAGTCCATTCAATTTCCCAAAAGGGCGACTTTGTTTTAAAACCCATTCTGGATCAGTTGATTAATATGTGACAGCAAATAGAAATAGCTAAAAAGTCTTCAGTACTCAAACTGAAAACCAGGAAATAAATAGCAAACAATATGAGCGAGAATTTATGGAGTGCAAAATGCCAGTTAGGAAAGACAAAGGCCCAAAGGAAAATTCAAAAGTTGCAGAGCTAAAGACAACAGATAATGAGCTTTTTAGAAGAAAATTATGAAGAAAATAATTCCAAAAAGTGTGTACAGCTGTAATTAGATGGAGATGGCTTTATGTTAGAACTGCATAAAAGGTGAGAGTGCTCAATTTGTTTCCAGTCTCTGAAAAGAAGGAGAATCATGCACTCCCATCAAACAAGAATTAGCCATGTTCTCTTCAGGCTTTCTACAGGAACTTTCTACAGAATTAGGACAAAGGGTTTCCACAGCAACATGGTATGAAGCACTGCCCCAGCAGCTGAACACCGACGTCCTASATACACATACAGCCAAGAGGGGCTTCTGCCACCAATGCCAATAGTGGCAAGTGGTTAAAATGAGTCTGAGAATGCATGGACAGGAATAAAGACAAAGTCGGAAAGTTCATGGCTAAAAGTTCAGTCCTAAAAATATGTCTGAAAATAGCACTTGAATTTTTTGAGCTGCACAGATGTATAAACCTTGAAAACATTTATTTTAAAAACTGGAGAAGAGCAGGTATTCACAGTCCTACCTGGACCRTGTTTTCTTCTGATCACCTGTGAGCTCTGCTCTCCACCCCTAGAACAGAGCAGCCCTTCTCCATCACTGAAGGAGGCTCTCATGTGGATGAGAAACAGGAAGAAATTGGGTGGACAGCCCTCAGCTGCTCAGAACAGTTCTGCTCTTTCCTTTCTCTTTCACGCTCTAATGCTTGAGAATCCTCACATTCTGTCCACGTGTTTGAGGTAGGATGAACACAAACCCAAAAAGCAATCTTCCATCAGTGCAGCAGCAGGAAATGGAGTTTATAAGCTCGAGGAGCTTCAGAAGGAGGAGAGCTGGGACWGAAAGGAACAGAACTGCTCGAAAAGGGTAGATATGGGCCATAATCATTTGCTTCTGTCAGATGCCTGTGATCACTACTGACATTAGGTCACAATGAATCTCTGAACACAGGGGAAAGCCAAAGGACTGAAAGACAGCTGCTATATAATTTTATAATATATAATACATAAATTATATAATATATAATATTCAGAGAAGGGAAGCATAATGCTCCAGCTATCCACTGGATAGCAAGACKGACATCCATACCAGAGAAGCTGATAAGAGATGAATTACATCACTTAGCAGAATTCAATGGAATATCATGCTCTTTGGAGTAAAACTAGCTCACTGAGAAGTTATCACCTCTAGCAGACAGAGGAGTTCATGTGTATTAGTAAGTAACTTAAGTTAGCAGCACAACATTCTGCTTTTAAAAAGCCACAATGAAGTATTACAGTGCACAGCTTCCAAAAGTGAATAATCTGTCAAGTGACAGAATAAAATAAAAAAAAAGTAATCATAGAGAAATCACTGCTAACTAGAAAAGGCTTTATAAAGACCTTACAGACATCAACGCTCAATACAAACTCATGGGTGATGATATTTACAAAGTTTTAAAAATTCAGAAAATTGATAAATAATGCTGAAAACACATTGAAACAGCAATCTGGAGTGCCCAGTCTGCTGTTTCTCTTTAYCCACAATAATATCCGCATTTTAATACAGCCAAATGCAAACACTTGCAGCTCAGAACAGAAAATGCACGTCATTGCTACTGAATATGGACTGCATCCTGAAATRTGAGGGATTCTTGAAAGGAATTTGGGATCAAAGTGAAAAATGAATACAATC